GGATCGTAGTTGATCCGCGATCCGTACGGACCAAGCCCCACGGTTTTTGTGCATAATAACAGCCATAAACCATGGCAAATTCATTATAATGCAAGGTTACAGTTTTATTATTTATATAATTAAACACCAAATTAGAAAACAAATGTATAATAATAATAATAATATTAATATCAATGAAAATAATTATTTCTTTATTTATTATTATAATTATTGCCCAATGGCTCGTTGTACATAAACAGCCCTAAATCAAAGAAAATTAACTGTAAAGCAAGGCTTTTTGCTTTATAATTTCACAAAATTACTGTTAATTTCTATTTAAAATTGTAATGAAAACCCAAATTATCCAATATTTTATCACCTTTCTATCATAATTAAATTTAACTAAAAAAACAAACAAACAAACAAACAAAAAAAAATTTCTAAAAACAGGTTGCTTAGAAAGACAGGTCCAAAATGTTAATCTGACTGCAATATAAACATGTTTCTTGCAAATGTTTTTTGCGAAGATATTAAAGGGGTCATCGGATGCTACATGCACTTTCACAAGTTGTTTGAACTGAAATGTGTGTTGGCAGTGTGTGTACACAACCACCCTATAATGATAAAGATCCACCCAGTGTTTTTTTTTTTATCTACTAAAATCTTTACCCTTTTCTCAAATCAAGCCGATCTCAGATGCCTGTCTGACGTCAACTCCCGACATCTGAGCCGCTGAAGACGCAGTGGATTACGTTTGCCCCCGATCTACATAAATGCATTTATGTTCGCGCGAATCATTCGTGATACAGCTTCACCACCAGAAGGAGTGAGTGTAAGGTTTTTTAATGAATCTTTGCAAATTGCCTTTCCTAATAATGTGCTAGTTAGCAAGTTTCACGATGAATGCGGCTAAAGTTTACCGTCTCTCAGAGAGCAGTTCGGAAGAGAGGGGCGGGGCGAGCAGAGCACATTTGCATTTAAAGCGGAATGCAATAAAACGGCATGCTCTGAAAAGAGCTGTTTTTGACAGGGCAAAAACAGTGTTGTTTTACACTACCATTGAGAAATTTTAACCAAACTATGTTACAGAATTTTCAATAAGACCCTAAAAATCATATCAATTTGTGGAAAACGGGCATCCGATGACCCCTTTAATTAAGGAGAAGTAATGCAACCTGCAGCATTTCTTCCAGCATATCCACACGCTTGAAGATGGTGAGCCAGAACTCCGGGACTCCTTTCGGATCATCGGCGACGGCTGAATCTGCCTGCTTCTCCTCCAGAGCAGCTTTTTTCTGCAAATCTTCCTGTGCGTGAAAATTATTTTGTTAAACAGACCATTATCATTTCATCCTCCAATTGGGCTTTTCAATAGCTCAGGGCTTCCAGCAAAAAAAAAAAAAATGCTTTGCCAAGAAAGCAGAATGCTTGAAAATTGAAATTTGCAATTGATATGATAAATTTTTTCAGTATTCTCACAAGTATCCACTTACAGCAAGATCCTCTTCCTCCCTGTCACTTTGCCATTCACATTCCTCATCTGTGGGTTCAACGGCGCCAGCCACAATGTCCCGTCTCTGAACAAAGGATCATTGTGCTGTGACATCATCATTTCATATGCATGACATCATCATTTCAAGGGCAAAACACTTATAGCATTCATTTCGTAAACAAGTGTGCAACACAAAACCAAAGCAATGAATTCTCTTTGGACCCTTTGGATCTCTTTGGACAGGCCTGTAACAAGAAGGCTGGATTCCCTTTATATGCATTGTGGGTAAAAGTTGAACTACTAACTTGTCTCCAGACAAGGAAATGGACAGTTTTGAATGAGAGCAGTTGGACATTCGTTCTGTTGGACTGACTTTAGCACTCATATGTGACCCTGGACCACAAAACCAGTCTTAAGTCGCTGAGGTATATTTGTAGCATTAACCAACAATACATTGTACGGGTCAAAATGAAAACTTAATTTTTTATTAGTAATATGCATTGCTAAGAACTTAATTCTAACAACTTTAAAGGTGATTTTCTCAATATTTAGATTTTTTTGCAACCTCAGATTCCAGATTTTCAAATAGTTGTATCTCGAACCAAATATTGTCCGATCCTAACAAACCATACATCAATGGAAAGCTTATTTATTCAGCTTTCAGATGATTTATAAATCTAAATTTCACAAAATAGACCCTTGTGACTGGTTCTGTGGTCCAGGGTCACATATTGGTAATGTACAGGCAAACAGCAAGGCCTGAAGGTCAACTTTCATGCTGGAGAAAGCGTTTCAGGTTTGTGAGGGGTTAAATACTTCAGTGGACCAGCTCCGACCTAACACAGAGCGTGTTTAAACAGAACGCCTGGTATTACAGAGAGTCCTTTGCATACCTTGTCAAAGATGGGCTGGTAGAGGCCAGCATACTTCCTCTCGAGCTCATGGACTTCTTCATAGAACTTGGCCTCTATGTTGGCGCTCTGGAGCTGGAGCCTCTTCAGGGCATAAACTCTTCTCTTTACAGTCTTGGGTAGGAGATGGAAATTCAGTGTTCTAGATAGTCAGAAGTCAGAAAACTCAGTTTTACACAACATTATTACAAGTTAAAAACAAACTTAACGGATGTTTATGAAACACATTAAAGACAGCTTAAAGAGGTTTACTAAAACAAGTCACAGAGCTTAACAGATGAAACTCTTTACAGATTAAACATTTACAGATACTTACAAAACAAATGTTTGTTAAATTTGACATTCATGAAACTTTACAGACGTTTCCTAAAACAACAAGTTACAGAACTTCACAGATGAAACTCATGTTTTGAAAACATCTGTAAAGTGTCAAAAACTTGAGTTTCATCTGTTAAATTTTGTAACTTGTTTTTAGTAAATGACTGTAAAGTTTCGTAAACTTGTTTTATAAACATAACATTTTAGCATACTTAAGTTTATGACACTTTACAGATGTTTACAAAACACAAGTAGGGCTGTGCAAATAATCGAATGCGATGATCAGTAAAGCCGGTTCTGTGATTAGTAGTAAATCCCCATCACGTGCTTTCAGATGGAGCAGCATTTAATACACAGAATAAACAGTTTATGAAACAAGTTTATGGAACTTTACAGACATTTACTAAAACAGTTACAGAACTTAAAAGAAGAAACGTAAGTTTATAACTAGGGCTGGGCAGAAAAATTTATTTTTCGATTAATCGTTTTTTTTAAATGACATCGATTCGATATCGATTCTCAAAAGCCGCGAATCGATCTTTTCCGGGATTTATTTCAGCAAAAAAACAAGATTTGGTTTTTAAAAAGCCTTTTTCCAAAAGGTACATCTGGAAAAAGATATATAATCAGGGTCGTCTTATATTCGGGCCAATACGGTAATACTATAAATCATGATTTCCGCAATGAATGAATGGCGGATGGCGCAGCAGACGCACTGTATGTCTGTCTGTCTGTCTGTCTATCTATCTATCTATCTATCTATCTATCTATCTATCTGTCTGTCTGTCTGTCTATCTATCATCTATCTATCTATCTATCATCTATCTATGTATCTATCTATCTATCTATATTGCAAAATATATTTAAGCAGTATATATCTCCCTCTCTCTCTATATATCTTACAATATATGGCTTAATAATTTTATCTAAAAAAGAACGTTATATTTTATATTTACAATAGAAGAAATCTAGAAGTTCTAGGAGAGTCACAAATCTAAAATTCCTGGATATTTCAATGTTTCCCTGTTTATAGTTATATATGCGAGAGAGCAAAATCTGAATCCTTTGATGTCACATTCACAATTTACATTATAAAATATAAATATAGATATAAATATAATAGCAATCTATTTTATAAAATCGTATTATATAAAAACTAAAAAAGTATATTGTATGCTTCATATATATGTACTTTTATTTTTTATAATATAACTATAAAATCTATCTATCTATCTATCTATCTATTGCTATACATAAGCTGTACATATACTGTAAGATATATATATATATATATATATATATATATACACTTTTCCCTGTTTGTAAATACATATCGGAGAAAACAATCTAAATCCTGTAATGTCACATGTACAATCCTACAAGGCGCCGCTATCGCTGCGGCGTGACGTCACGGCGAGGGGCGTGTCTAGTGAATTACCCTTATTATTACATTCATTCATAGCTTACACTTAAAAAGAGCAGGCGGCGGCAAAACGGTGCGTCTCCTGAAGTCAAACCGTAATCCACACCGTCCATATCTCACGAAGAGACGTAGAGGTAAGATTCCAGAATGAATCAACTGTATTTTAAGCAGCTGCGTGAGACTGAACGGGGAGCTCGTGCAGCGGTGAAGTAGGTGAAAGTGCGCGAGCGCAACGCCTGCCTGGTATATTCTTGTCCTTATGGTATGCCACAGAAAACACAAGGTGATTCCGGACGGCAACGCAGTTTCTCTCTGAATAAAACAAGGATGTAATTTATGTTTTTATGTATAGAAATGCATGCATGACAAGAGCACCTGGTGAATGCTGCACAACGAGGTCAGGGCATCTCTACAAAGCTGAAAGCACGTTAGAAGGACGTTCACTTAGTTACTGTTGTTATGTGCGCGCAACAACTGCGTTGGAATATGTTTGATTTTAGTTATTGATTGCAATGTTATCAGGGAACTTGTCAAAGCGTTTGTCCTCTTGCTACATAGTTTCGATTTGTTTCGGTGCCAAGTAAGTTTACTATTGAGATTTGTTTTTTTTTTATGACGGGTATGCCACAGAAAACACAAGGTGATTCCGGACGGCAACGCAGTTTCTCTCTGAATAAAACAAGGATGTAATTTATGTTTTTATGTATAGAAATGCATGCATGACAAGAGCACCTGGTGAATGCTGCACAACGAGGTCAGGGCATCTCTACAAAGCTGAAAGCACGTTAGAAGGACGTTCACTTAGTTACTGTTGTTATGTGCGCGCAACAACTGCGTTGGAATATGTTTGATTTTAGTTATTGATTGCAATGTTATCAGGGAATTTGTCAAAGCGTTTGTCCTCTTGCTACATAGTTTCGATTTGTTTCGGTGCCAAGTAAGTTTACTATTGAGATTTTTTTTTTTTTATGACGCAATACAACAAATCAAATAGCTTCCCGCGCATCCTAATTTGTTACAGTTAGAGATATTAATAACCCCTATGTTATCAATTTAAATCAGGAATAAGTAATCCAAAATGTAAAATTATATTATTATTTACTAACCCTCATGTTAATCCACACTAAATGAGATATTATGCAGTATGTGGTCATTTTCACTGTAAGGAAAAAAAAAATGCAGTAAAAGTGAATGCAATTCCCTAAATTTTGGCTAACGTGTCATTTTGTGTTCCATAGAATAAAAATAGTCTTACAGGCTTGGAATAGCGTTAGTATGACCAAATGATGAATTTTCATATTTTGGAGAGCTGTCCCTTTAATTTAATAGTTCGCTTGAACTGTGCAAATAGATATACAATGTGTTCCTATTTCTATTGTTTGATCAAATAACTCGGTACACGTTGCGGAATATTTAATACCAGCTTATTAAAACATATTGAGCTATAATGGCGTAGAGCAGCATGTAACATCAACATAGTCCCGTGACCTTTCGCCTAGTTTCCATCCGCACCGGCTCGTCACGTGATCACCGCTGTTGTGTGTGTGTGTGCGTG